AGCAGGGGTATTCAACGCTTACCCTATGAGGTCCGGAGCCTGCTGGTTTTCTGTTCTACCTGATACTTAATTGCGCCCACCTAGTGTCCCAGGTCTAAATCAGTCCCTGATTAGAGGGGAACAATAAAAAAAAAACAGTGGAACTGGCTTCAAAGTCCAGAGATGAGTTTGAGGGCTCTAGAGTGTTTTGAATGCCCCATGCAACTAGAGCAGGTATTCCCAAACTCGGTCCTGGCCTCCCCCTGGATGCATGTTTTGGTTGTTGCCCTAGCACTACACAGCTGATTCAAATAACCAACTCATCATCAAGCTTAGATTATTTTAATCAGCTGTGTAGTGCTAGGGCAAAAAAAAATGAAACGTGCACCCCGGGAGGGTGGACACACACTCAAATTAGTGTGATACAGTATGTTACGTTTGGTATGATTACATAAGACAGACGTTTAAGGCAAAAACGAAAGTAGGGTGGTTGGTCAGGCGAATAATGCAAATGTCTAGCAACCCAAAGGTTGCGTGTTTTAATTTAATCACAGACAACTTTAGGATTTTAGCTAACCCTTTCACCCTTAACCCTTAAACCTAACGCTAACCTTAACCATAACCATAACCTTAACCCTAACCTCTAGCTTAGCTAACGTTAGCCACCTGGCTAACATTAGCATTAGCCACCTAGCCAAATTGTAATTCGTAACATATCATACGTTTTGAAAATTCGTAACATATCATACGAATTGTAATTCGTAACATATCATACAAAATGGATGATGGACAACTACAAATTAATACACACCATACTATGTTACGTCTATCCCTGATTCCAGGTTGTTTTGATAGATGTGAGGCAGGCGAAACAGGGTTGGAATTCTGTTATCAACAAGAGATGATTGAGTGTGCACTGGATGTGAGCAGCTCAGTGAGTTGTGGATGGCTGATCTTTGACACCAGCAAGACAGCCTGCATGACAGCCTCCATCACTGTGTTGATTGGTTGCAAGACCATTGTCTGTTTCACAGAAGCAACATTTACAAGAAGCTCTGAACTGTAGGCTGCTGTTGGAACTGTATTGTATTCTAGGCCTTACTGCCCTGGTTCTTTTGTAAAAAATGTCCAGTCGGAGCGGAGGTGTACATGTCTTTTGGTGAGGCAGTATCACCACGTACATGCAGAGCAGAGTCCTGGAATGGTGTAACGGATCCAGGTGTCTAAACTTTACACACTGCAGAGGGAGTTATTTTCAATATTCTATGATGATGATGGAAGGTACTGGGCAGGCTGTTGATAAACAAAGGTGGAACCCCCTTCAGAAGACACCTTATCATCCTGCCCAAATGTACCCCTCTCCCCCCCCTCCGCTCTCTGCTCTCCCTCGCTCCACACAGTATCCACACACAGAATAACTCTTGTTGGATACTTTCTGTACTGTGCCCAGTTTTCTTCTCCCTAAATACCATGGAAACAACAATTCCCGTGCCTTGCAGTCTTGACTTTCCCCTCACCCTCCAAAAACAAAGACAAGAAGTTAGGGAGCTAGGAAGGGAAGGAGTAAACTCTTGAAACAGGTCAACATTCACAAGTCCGCAGGGCCAGAAGGATTACCAGGTCGTGTACTCAGAGCATGCGCTGACCAGCTGGCAAGTGTCTTCACTGACATTTTCAACCTCTCCCTGACCCAGTCTGTAATACCAACATGTTTCAAGCAGACCACCATAGTCCCTGTGCCCAAGAATGTCAAGGTAACCTGTCTAAATGACTATCGCCCCCTAGCACTCACATATGCTTTGAAAGGCTGGCCTTGATTCACGTCAACATCATCATCCCAGACACCCTGGACCCACTCCAATTCGCATACCCCCCCCAACAGATCCCCAGAAGATGCAATATCCACACTGCCCTTTCCCATTTGGACAAAAGGAACACCTACATGACAATGCTGTTATTGACTACAGCTCAGCATTCAACACCATAGTGCCCTCGAAGCTCATCACTAAGCTAAGGTCTCTGGGACTGAACACCTCCCTCTGCAACTGGATCCTGGACTTCCTGACGGGCCAACCCCAGGTGGTGAGGGTAGGCAACAACACGTCCGCCACGCTGACCCACAACATGGGGGCCCCTCACGGGTGTGTGCTTAGTCCCCTCCTGTACTCCCTCCAACACCATCATTAACTTTGCCAACGACACGATGGTGGTAGGCCTGATCACGACGATGAGACAGCCCATAGGGAGGAGAACAGAGACCTGGCAGTGTGGTGCCAGGACAACAACCTCTCCCTCAACATCAGTAAGTCAAAGGAGTTGATTGTGGACTATGGGAAACGTAGTACATCACTGGGGCCGAGCTCCCCGCCATCCAGGATCTCTATATAATATAAAAATAATATAATATGCCATTTAGCAGACGCTTTTATTCAAAGCGACTTACAGTCATGCGTGCATACATTTTTTTTTGTGTATGGGTGGTCCCGGGGATCGAACCCACTACCTTGGCGTTACAAGCGCCGTGCTCTACCAGCTGAGCTACAGAGGACCACGGATTACGAATTTTCTATACCAGGCGGTGTCAGAGGAAGGCCCACATTTAAAAAAAAAGACTCCAGCCACCCAAGACACAGGTTGTTCTCTCTGTACCGCATGTCTGGAACCAACAGGACCCTGAACAGCTTCTACCCCCAAGCCATAAGACTTCTAAACAAGACTGCTAAATAGCTAATCAAATGGCTACCCGGACTACCTGCATTGACCATATTTTGCACTAACTCTCTTGCACTGACTCTATGTGCACACACTGAACTCTACCCACACACCACACATACTTACACTGACACCCCAACACACACACACTACATACGCCCACACACAACATACACACACATGCATACTGACACCCCAACACTCACACACACACTTTCACACTCACCACATACGCTTCTGCTAGTCACTTTACCTCTACCTATATGTACAGTACATAGCTACCTCAATTATCTCGTAACCTTGCACATCGACTCGGTACTGGCACTCCCTGTATATAGCCATGTTATTTTCTGCTCCCTATAGACACTGAGTGTACAAAACATTAGGAACACCTGCTCTTTCCATGACGTAGACTGACCAGGTGAATCCAGGTGAACGCTATGATCCCTTATTGATGTCACTTGTTAAATCCACTTCAATCAGTGTAGATGAAGGAGAGGAGACATGTTAAAGAAAGTGTTTTAAGCCTTGAGACAATTGAGACATGGATTGTGTATGTGTGTCATTCAGAGGGTGAATGGGCAATACAAAAGATTTAAGTGCCTTTGAACGGGGTATGGTAGTAGGTGCCAGGAGCACCGGTTTGAGTGTGTCAAGAACTGCAACGATGCTTGGGTTTTCACGCTCAACAGTTTCCCGTGTGTATCAAGAATGGTCCACCACCCAAAGGACATCCTGCCAACTTGACACAACTGTGGGAAGCATTGAAGTCAACATGGACCAGCATCCCTGTGGAACGCTTTCGACACTTTGTAGAGTCCATGCCCCGATGAATTGAGGCTGTTCTGAGGGTAAAAGTGGGTGCAACTCAATATTAGGAAGGTGTTCCTAATGTTTTGTACACTCAGTGTATAGCCATGTTATTTCTACTCGTTATTTTTATTTGTTATTCACTGTGTCACTATTTATATATATATATATATATATATATATATATATATTTAAATCTTATCTTTAGCTCTGTATTGTTGGAAAAGGACCCGTAAGTAAGCATTTCACTGTTAGTCTACACCTGTTGTCTACGAAGCATGTGACGGTGTGAGATGGGGTGAGGGAAGATGGGATCAAGGATATGGAGGGAGGAGGGAATTGTGGGAGGAAGAGGAGGTGTCTGAGAAGAAGGCTCTCACTCAGGCAAAACCCCTACTCAACTGTAGTCTGTTCCTGAGTCATAAAGAGACAAAGTGAATGGCTGTAGTGGATTGTGCCAGGCCTGTCTCTTTGTCCTCCATGATATAAAGCTTTGGGCTGTGTCACGGTGTGTCTGTGAGTGTGACTGTAAGGAAACAGGGAGTTCGTCACCCCAGCAGGCAGGCAGGCAGGCACCTGATAATGTTCTATTTGTACTGCTGTTATCTAATGCATTTAGCCACACACTGTTCTCACACAGCGCTACAATGTGTCATGATAAATAGATGTAACAATGCAGTCTTTTGATACCACTGACATGGCCTTATCATCAGCAATAAAAAAAATAGAGGTGTATGTCTTCACATCGGTACATCTCCTAAATAGTTTTTCTTCTTTAAATCAGCTTGTTATAAATGCTAACCTCTTGCCTGTTGAATATTGTAAAAGAACGGGCATTGTTAAGACTGTTTACACTGTGGACTAGCATTTATGTGTAGCCTAAATTCAAAACAAAACAACATTTGGCCGAGTGTGGGATATGAAATGTTCAAAGGCAGCAGGACAATATGAGGGATTGAAGGAAGACTCCCGCTGCCCGTATGGCCAGGTGAAAAGCAGCACTGTGCGGGGCTGCTGTCTGAACTCTGATTCCTGGTACCAACATCTCCATGCTGGTTCTGACTTTGCTGGTTCACAGAACTCAATGCTAAGATCATCTGTGAAGTCTTTCAGCCCATAATGTGGAAAATTATGGCCTGCTTTTTTTGATGTGACTGGTAGTGAAGTTTCCACACTCATTCACTTATCCTTGGTACAGTTAATAAAGTAGGGCAAACGTTGGACTGCTGTCTGTAAATGTAGCTAGCTACAATCATCATGTCATTCATTGGAGCCCATCAAATATGGAAAATCAAATAAAAGGTACTAACATAGTTCATTTATTCTATTACTTTAAAGCTTGAGATGAGCAAGGCCAAGTGTAATCATGTACATTGCTACAACTTACACCTCACCAAAGCCATATCTCAGTGCTGTTGGAAACTTGAAAACAGTTGTGCCCAGTGTCCTCTAACATTTCAATGTCTTTTGTCTATGTAGATCGCTGCCATCGTTGAGAGATGTTTGAGAAGCAGGGTTACGACAGCCCTCCTGTCTACAGTCCTCCATACAGCCCGGCCTTCAATGGCTACGGCCCCCCACAAAGCTACCACTCCCCCAGGAGTGAGTTTGATCCCTACCCACCCCCACCGGGCTCCTACTACATGGAAGAGAAGCCCCAACACTTCTACAAGTGTCTCTCCCCTCCTGGCATTGTCAAGGCCATGTTTGGCACCATCATAGTGCTCTGTGTGGGAATCTTTGCCTGTGTGGCCTCTACCCTGGTCTGGGACATGCAGTACGGGATGGGGGGGATGGGCTCCTACAGCGGAGGGATGGGTTATGGGGGAATGGGGGGCAGTTATGGCTCCAGCTACGGCTCTGGTTATGGAGGAGGCTATGGAGGAGGTTATGGTAACTATGGTAGCTCCTACCCGACACCTTACTCGGCCAAGACCACCATGATAGCCATGGCGGCCATCAACTTCTTTGTGGCGCTGGGATTCTTCGTGGCCAGTTTTTCTAAATCGACCACGTTCAGAAGCAGGAAGTTCTACCTAGTGGTTCTGGTAGTCAGTGTGATCATGTCCGTCATCCAGGGCATCATCAACATCGTGTACATCGTGGGAGTAAACCCAATGGGCCAGAGCTCTCAGAACATGATCTACAACCCCATGCTGAGGATGTGCCAGAATCTGTATGGGACCAGCTATTCCAATATGGGAGGAGTGGGGGGTATTGGCATGTATAACCAGTACCTCTATCACTACTGCTACGTGGACCCACAAGAGGTAGAACAGTTATTTAATGTATCATTTGATGAATGTTGAGTTATTGCTGTGAAGCTGTAAAGTTGGTATATTATTACATGTGTGTTCTTATGCTTATTTGAATCATGTATGTGTATAGCCTGTAGTGTGTTTGTAAGTCTCCAATCACAATGTAGTATTTCAGATTGTTTGCGTAAGAATTTACTTACATAAACTCCTTGATGTTGATGTGTCCCCTCCAGGGTGTAGCCATGGTGTTTGGGTTCCTGGTTACCGCTGCGTTGGCCGTGGCTGCTTTCTTCTCACACAAAACCAGAGGCAAGATCTGGCGCTACGGCAAGCCCAACATCTACTGGGAACAGCCACCTGTGACTGGAGGCCTAGTTTCTGATGGCAGAGATGTAGAGGACTGGGTAAGGGAACACTCATACTGGTATGAATATAAGTATGAGTATCATGCTCATGCTCTATAGAGTAAAGAAAGTAGAATATATGTGTTTTTAGATGCTCCCAGTTTTAATGCAGTAATATTTCATTTAGGCCTACCATTAGTCTTTGTCAGTTTGATCATGATGAGCTACTGTGAATATTCTATTCTCTCTCCCTAATTAGTTAAGAAATGTTAGTTATTTGCATGGGTGCAGAAAACTTGAAGGCAACCTTTGGAATCACATAATACTTTCGTCAGTAATTAGAATGTTTCCTTTACCTGAGATAAGTTCTAGTTCAAAATAGTAACCAAAATGTTTATATATTTCCGGACAGACTTTGGAATGCGCGGTTGCAGTTCCCTGTTTTTACTTTATGAGTTGAAAGTCTACCAGTAGTGTCATTATTTCATGCCTTTTATGAATGTCAAGGATAAGTGGAAAACATGACACACTTAAAGAGTGGGAGCTTGGTTTAGGTATGTATGTATGTTTGCATGTATTTATCCTGTACTCCTGTATGGCAAAGGGTATTCGTCAATAACTTCTGTTTTATCTCAATGTCAAGGCCTAATTTACAGTGAGTATTATATTAGGTGTGACACATTGAATGGACATTGATCAATCTCAACCCAACCTTACGCTCTTATGCACTTTCTTTTATTTTCTTGCTCTCGCCTCGCCCTTCTCGAGTACAAGACAACAGAGAATTGTCTGATCATAAAATGTTGGCAACGCTTTGGGAAAATAGTAGTAAACTTCAACCCGTGCCCTACTCCAGTTTCGCCTTTTAAGAGCAGCATATTGACTCATCAGGTTAGTGTTATACCTGCTAGCTACAGTGTTGCCACTCTGCTGAGGTGCTGTTGCTAATAGCCCGATTACATGGCTGTGCGAGGAGCTGATAGCTGCTGTTTGTTCAGTCTAACTGATTTCACTCTGGCTAATCATTAACTATATCAGTATAAACAGGTGGTTCCTAAAGCTCCTGTCACGCCCTGACTCAGAGGACGCTTATATGTTGAGTCAGGGTGTGTATTTTCCTTGTTGTGTTTTTCTATGTTGTATTTTCTATGTTGAGATCTAGTATGTCTAGATCTATGTTGGCCGGTGTGGTTCCCAATCAGAGGCAGCTGTCGCTCGTTGTCTCTGATTGGGGACCATACTTAGGCAGCCTATTGGCACTAGTGGGTTGTGGGATCTTGTTCTGTGTTAGGTATGTTGTTTGTGTACCTTGGACTTCACGTTTCGTTTCTTGTTTTGTCGTTGTGTTTAATAGTCAAATAAACATGTATGCTTATCACGCTGCGCCTTGGTTTGACCCGTCGATGAACGATCGTGACAGCTCCTATCTAACGCTGCCAGCCTGGCTGGGGTTTTAAACGTCAACAACATGCCAGGGGGGAGGCATTGTTACCAGGGTTATTGGTGAACTAGTACTGATCTACAGTAGATAGTTGTTGTTGTTGACCACTCTGTGTGGCATGTGAGAGTAGGCAATGTATGGGAACATAAACTACACGTCAAGTTGTAGGCTCGGCCCTAATTTATGTGCTCTCTGTCACCTGGAGCTGCATGGCAAATGGTCCAGGAACACAAGGAAAGCACAAAGGACAATGCCCAAGGACTAGTCAGCCCCTCCCCCTCTGAGGGGCCAAAATGTATCTCTCTGTTACAGTATCCAGAGGAATTACTATTGAATGTGTGATAGAATAATTCTATAGTATTCATGTTGGTATCTCTCTGATACTTGTTCACTGAGGATAACTCTGATGCGATCTATAAGTACTGTATGTATGATCTCTGTGGTAACTTGTACATCTGTACAGGGTGAACTCTAAATTACTCTATGCAAAGGGGTTTTATCGTCCTCTCAGGAATTCTGTCTTATTTACATTGGTCTCACCCCACACACAAGCCTTTAGATGCTGTGACACCCTGTGGAGATTGGGCCTGGTGGTCAGCTTACTCTGTAAACTTGGTATCGTTTGATTGGTCAATGGTGGTTGGTTTTGGGTTGAAAGATTTATACCTTCAGATGTTATAAATGGAATGAAAAGCCTTTGTTCTCTCACTTATCCTGTATCCAGTCCATGGAGGAAGGTTGTATGATCAATTCTCATTTCCTATGTTTCTTGGCCTCTGGTTGTCAGGATAAACGTGTATGCGGTGAACGAAGTCAAGCGCAGGACACCGAGAGTCTGGCAGATGTACTTTACTAATAAACGTAAGGACAAGTACAAAACAACAAAACCTCCAAAACAGGGAGGAAGAATAATCGCAATACACAGTCCTGCCGAAAACAAATGGAGAACAATCACACACAACAAACGAATGACAGACAGGGGTTATAAAGGGAAACCATCAACACTAATGGGAAACAGGTGTACACAAAGCAGACCAATCTAGATGATTGCTGAAACATAGATCGGTGGCAGCTAGTACTCCGGGGACGACGAACGCCGAAGCCTGCCCGAGCAAGGAGGAGGAGCAGCCTCGGCTAAATCCGTGACAGTACCCCCCCCCCCCTTGACGCGCGGCTCCAGCCGTGCGCCGACCCCGGCCTCGGGGACAGCCAGGAGGACGCGGAGCAGGGCGAGTCGGATGACTCCGGTGGAAATCCCTCAGCATGGAGGGGTCTAGGATGTCCCTCCTAGGGACCCAGCACCGTTCCTCCGGACCGTACCCCGTCCCACTCCACGAGATACTGCAGGCCCCCCATCCGACGCCTCGAATCCAAGATGGAACGGACTGAGTACGCCGGAGCCCCCTCGATGTCCAATGGGGGCGGAGGAACCTCTCGTACCTCACTCTCCTGGAGTGGACCAGCTACCACCGGCCTGAGGAGAGACACATGGAACGAGGGGTTAATGCGGTAATTAATTGGCAGTTGTAATCTATAGCATACCTCGTTCAATCTCCTCAGGACTTTAAATGGCCCCACAAACCGCCGACCCAGCTTCCGGCAGGGCAGGCGACGGGGCAGGTTTCGGGTCGAGAGCCAGACCCGATCTCCCGGTGCATACACCGGAGCCTCACTACGATGGCGATCGGCGCTCGCCTTCTGCCGCCTGATGGCCCGTTGCAGATGGACATGCGCAGCGTTCCATGTCTCCTCCGAGCGCCGAAACCTCTCGTCCACCGCAGGGGCTTCGATCTGGCTCTGATGCCAAGGTGCCAGAACAGGCTGATAACCCAGCACACACTGAAAAGGCGTAAGGTTAGTGGAGGAGTGAGTTTTGAGCTATCTCCGGCCAGGGGATATATACCGACCACTCCCCCTGCCGGTCCTGGCAATAGGACCTCAGAAACCTACCCACATCCTGGTTAACTCTTTCCACCTGCCCATTACTCTCAGGGTGAAAACCTGAGGTAAGGCTAATCGAGACCCCCAGACGTTCCATAAACGCCTTCCAGACTCTAGAGGTGAACTGGGGACCCCGATCAGACACTATATCCTCAGGCACCCCGTAGTGCCGGAAGACGTGTGTAAACAGGGCGTCAGCAGTTTGTAGGGCTGTAGGGAGACCTGGCATAGGAATGAGACGGCAGGCTTTTGAAAACCGATCCACAACGACCAAGATCGTAGTGTTCCCCTGGGAGGGGGGAAGGTCCGTGACAAAATCCACCGATAGGTGAGACCACGGCCGTTGTGAAACGGGTAGGGGTTGTAATTTCCCTCTGGGCAGGTGTCTAGGCGCCTTACACTGGGCGCACACCGAGCAGGAGGAAACATAAACCCGCACGTCCTTAGCTAAAGTGGGCCACCAGTACTTCCCACTAAGGCAGTGCACCGTCCGACCAATACCAGGATGACCAGAGGAGGGTGACGTGTGAGCCCAATAGATCAATCGATCACAAACCTCGAGCGGCACGTACTTCCGATCCTCTGGACATTGTGGGGGAGTAGGATCGGTACATAACGCCCGCTCGATGTCCGCATCAACCTCCCACACCACCGGTGCCACCAGACAAGACTCCGGAAGTATGGGAGTGGGCTCAATGGACCTCTCCTCTGTGTCATACAGTCGGGACAGGGCGTCCGCCTTAGTGTTCTGTGACCCTGGTCTATAGGTGAGTTTAAATACAAATCTGGTAAAGAACATGGCCCACCTTGCCTGGCGAGGGTTTAGCCTCCTCGCTGCCCGGATGTACTCCAGGTTACGATGGTCAGTCAAAATGAGAAAAGGGTGGTTAGCCCCCTCAAGCCAATGTCTACACACCTTCAGGGCTTGGACTACAGCCAACAGCTCCCTGTCCCCCACGTCATAATTACGCTCCGCCGGACTGAGCTTCTTAGAGAAGAAGGCACAGGGGCAGAGTTTTGGTGGCGTACCCGAGCGCTGAGATAGTACAGCACCAATCCCAGCCTCGGACGCATCCACCTCAACTTGGAACGCCAAAGAGGGATCCGGATGTGCCAGCACCAGAGCCGAGGTAAACAGGTCCTTCAGATGTCTAAACGCCCTGTCCGCCTCAGCCGACCACTGCAGACGCGCCGGACCCCCCTTTAGCAGGGAGGTGATGGGAGCTGCTACCTGTCCAAAGCCCCGGATAAACCTCCGGTAGTAATTGGCAAAACCCAAAAACCGCTGCACTTCCTTCACCGTGGTGGGAGTCTGCCAATTACGCACGGCTGAAACGCGGTCAATCTCCATCTCCACCCCTGACGCGGACAACCGATGCCCCAGGACGGAGATGGACTCCTGGAAGAACAGACACTTCTCTGCCTTCACATACAGGTCATGCTCCAACAGTCTACCAAGCACCCGACGCACCAGGGACACATGCTCGGCGCGTGTAGCGGAGTATATTAGAATGTCATCAATATACACCACTACACCCTGTCCATGCAAGTCCCGGAAAATCTTGTCCACAAACGATTGGAATACTGAAGGAGCATTCATTAAACCGTATGGCATGACAAGGTAGTCATAGTGACCCGAGGTTGTACTAAATGCTGTCTTCCACTCATCTCCCTCCCT